CCGAGAACCGGGATCATATATGACCCTTCTTCCCTAATCCCTAAACCCTAAACCCTAAACCCCGAATGACCCTTGCAAGCCTTCGGTCCCCAATCCTGAAATTACACCGTCATCTTCATAAGATCCAAAGCCCTGAATCGACAACACCGCTTTCCTGTAAGTCCCAAACCCTCAATCCATAAGACAGGTAACCTCGAATCCAGCCTAAACCCTAAACCCTACTAGGTGACCTCGAAACCACATCCCTGATTCTTTCACCATAAACCCCTTACATCCTTCAACCCTAGACCCATGAACCAACCGAAGATACTAAAACTGGAAAGAAGACTATTGTAAAAAACAATACTAACACTGTAGTAACAATAATACCAGAAGAAGAAAAACTCGACACCAATCAACAAACATCACCACTGGACTATCATCTCAGAAGTCTCAAAGCCTATCTTCCAAAGCCCCGGCCCTACGTCACAGACTTCTTGAAGTCCCTGAATCCTAGCAGGCTCAGGGTTTAGGTTTCAAGGGCTTAACCCACACATGCACCGGAATCTTGCATGCCATTTTTTGTCACCCACTTGGGTGCCAGAGCACATATACTCTATTCTCTACTGCACCAGACTGTCCTGTACTGCAATGTGCTGTACTGTACTGTAGTGTATTATCCTTCCTAGACTAGATCAGACTATACTAGACTATATGCGGTACAATACTATACTATAAATTCGATGCCATAAATTACTTTACTATACTTAGAATGCCACACTATAATATAAAAGACTATACAGCGCAATTACTACACGATCCTGGTCTATACTATGAACTAGCTATAGCATGGCAAGTACGAAGAACGCGAAATCCAAATCAGCTGCCACTTCCGCCGTTCGATGCCAGGACTGGCCAGAAAAACCTTTCTGACAAAGGGCCCGGGAGCTTCGACGGGTGAGGGCTTTAGGATTTCAGGGTTTATGGCTTTGGGGTTGGGCTTTAGGGTTTAGGGCTTTGGGGTTGGGGTTTCGGGTTTTAGGGTTTGGGGTTGGGGTTTAAGGCTTTAGGGTTTAGGTCTTTGGGGTTGGGGTTTAGGGCTTTAGGGTTTTAGGTCTTTGGGGTTGGGGTTTTAGGGCTTTAAGGTTCTAGGGCTTTGGGACTGGGGCTTTAGGGCGTTAGGGTTCTAGGGCTTTGGGGTTGAGGTTTAGGGCTTTAGGGCTTAGGGCTTTGGGGTTGGGGTTTAGGGCTTTAGGGTTTAGGTCTTCGGGGCTGGGGTTTAGGGTTTTAGGTTTTCAGGTCTTTGGGGTTGGGTTTTAGGGTTTTAGGGCTTAGGGCTTTGGGGTTGGGGTTTAGGGTTTTAAGGTTTAGGGCTTTGGGGTTGGGTTTTAGGGTTTCGGGTTTAGGGCTTTAGTGTTCGGGTTTCGGCGCCACACTCGGACACTCCAGGCGAGGCATGTGGTTCGCAGGGTCTGCGAAAGTGTAACCAAAATTAAGATCAGCAAGCGAAAAGAAAACACTCCAACAGGTTTCGGGTTTGGGGCTTTAGTGTTAGGGTTTAGGGTTTAGGGTTGCGGTGAGTACCTCACCACCTGCACCTACTTCCAGCGCAGGGGCGCCGGTCAGGTGAAGGTTCCCAGTTTCGGAGTTCCCTGCAATTCTCAAAAACTTCCTGGCTAGGGTTTAGGGTTTAGGGTTTAGGGTTTAGGGTTTAGGGTTTAGGGCAAAAAAACATCACAAATGCTATTTGGTAACCAGTTGGGGGTGTACAGTACCCCCCGTCGAAACTGTAACACGAAAGATCAAAGCGATCCCACTGCAGACGGATGAAAGTGTGGCTAGTTGATGTTGCATACTTTTGTTAGGGAGGGTACTTGCTACTTCCCTAAACAACCCTAACCCTAAACCCTAAACCCTAAACCCTAAACCCTAAAAACCAAACCCTAAACCCTCCCTACTCAACCAAACAAGTTTGACCTTCGACATCTTCCAGGGCTCCCGTGGTGTTTTGGGGTGTTGCAGCCTGATATAGGCGTTTAGGATCAGGGTTTAGGGTTTAGGGTTTAGGGTTTAGGGTTTACGGAGAGGATCAGGGTTTAGGGTTTAGGGTTTAGGATTTAAAGAGAGGATCAGGGTTTAGGGTTTGGGGTTTAGGGTTAAATTTAAAGAGAGGATCAGGGTTTAGGGTTTAGGGCTCCGGGATCGGATTTTTGGGCTTCAGGGCAGAGACTGACCATACAGAATCTTGCGAGCAAGACACGAAGGTATGGGTGTCTCGCACGAAGCCGAACAGCTCTGTGAGGTCACGCAGGTTGTCGGTGTCCATGAAAGTCCTTCAAAGTCCGAAAACCCTACATTTATCACCTTCGGGTAGCAATAATATAGGGGCCCAAATAAGTTGAATAGGATTTTGGGGCCCTTTATACTATAATCATAATAAGGAACCCAGAAAATCGACAACCTAACCCTATTTAAGGAAGCCCCTCTCCACTCACGCGATATTCGGCTGAGGGGGGGCTCTGAAAAACAAAGGCCCTCTACTTGGGAGGGTTGTTTTCGTTAGCGCCACTTATTCCTGGAGCCTCAGACCCCACGTAGATGGTGGGACTTTCGCAAAATACTGGGCTCTAACACGCTTCCGTGCTTTGGCGCTTGGAACCCCCCCCATCCTAAGAAACCACCCACCTGCCCCATCGGTCCCCGTTGGGCCCCCAAACCAGAAACCCTGCAATAAAAGCCCCAAGCCCAAACAACCCTGCAACCCTAGACCCCTCGTAATAACCCCTGAAACCTTCTCTCAAGGTAATCCTTCAAAAACGCTCAAAGAATCCCTGTAAGGACCCTTGAGGGAACCCTCACAGGAGGCCGAACAAGAACCGCTTGCAGCCAGGCTGCGTGAAACGAGAGCTTCTCTTCAGCAGCTGAATCTTCAGGAGGCGCGCCAGAGACCCCGAGGTGCTCTTCCTGGGCTTCAAGGCGTTGAGGTTTGGGTTTAGGGTCTGGGGTTTAGGGTTAGGGGGCTTCGACCTGAGGGTGCAAAGGACCCAGTAGTTTCGGAAGTTAGTTTTCGGAAAGCAGTTTTGCAGGTTTTTGGGGAGAGTTAGGTACTTGGTCCCTTAGGGTACAGGCATTGGGGTTTAGGAGTTTTACGGCTTTTATGGTTTCGAAGTAGATAGGGCAACCCTAAACCCTAAACTCT